GTCTACAGTAATGCCATCGAGCCACTGCCTCATGGGCTCTCGCTGGATACCTCTGAATCTTCCATGTCCCTAACTCCTCTCCCCATGATTCATATGTCGACGACGGATGACCCACGACTGCGGGATTACAATGTCATGCCTCGTGGACGGCAGGAAATGACCGGGCAACCTTACCACGACCGCACGCAAACTAGCTCAGCAGCAGACCTCATCAACCAAGCCCAACACACATCTGATTTCAACAAAATGTTGAGTATTCAGCGCAATTTCCGTCAAAAAGGCTTGGATGAATTTTACTCCAAGCCCCGCGAGGCCCCAGACTCAGAGGCCCAGTCCAATTATGCTCTTGACTCGGGTTTGTCTGTGTCACAACCTGTTCAGATATCACAGATTCCCTCGGCAGGGATGCCAAATCCCGCTCATACGCAGCATATGCTCCCTCAGCAGATTCCTATGCAGCCTAATCCAATGATGGGTGGACAACCAAACTATCCTCAACAGGCTCACCCACAGTCCGTTGGACAGTCTCCCCTGAGGATCCCACCAAATATGCAGCCCAATCTTATGCAACAGCGATCCAACCCATCCATGGGTGGTATGGGTCAGGCCCCTCCATACGGATATTCACCCCAACAACAGCAGGTTTGGGGACAGCCACCTCCGCAGCCACAGCCGTCCCCGTTGCCTTCGTCGGGTCACCAGGGCGTTGGAATGTCTCAGTATGGTCAACAAATGTCTGCCGCTCCGCAACAAAGCCCATCTCCCCTCGGACATCATCCGCAGCAGCAACATCACCACCAGTCTCCTCGCAACCAACAGCGACAGTCAATACCCCAGATGCCTCAGCAGTATTCCCAGATGCAACAGCACCCTCAAGCGGCGCAGGCTCAGGGTATGCAAGGCATGGGATATCCGGGAGCCAACCCGGCCGGTTATCCGGGCATGGCACGACCCATGTATCCCCCCAACCAGGCTCATGGTGGCCAACCCTTTATGGGCGGAAACCCTCAACAGCCAGGCCTTGCAATGAACATGGCAGGCAATGGTATGGCTGGGTGGCCTACCGGACCTGGTGGCCAGATGCAACCCGGACAACCTCAACCGGGCCAGTCTGGCAGTCCCTTAGGAGGTGGGTGGTCATACTAGTTTGAGATGGCCGGCGTTATGTAGATTGGCGTTTGTTTACCTTTTTACACAACATCTGAGGCGTGATTTGTTTTTTTCCCTTTCGCCACATGCTTTCCTTCATACCTGAAATATTCTCATTTTCTGATGTTCCAGTGTTACACTACATTCCTCGCATCCCATGGTGAAGGATGATCGGTTAATGTTAATCTGGGCCAACCTTCTATACCCTTTGTTGAGTTGTACTTAGTCAAGGTACCTGTTTCTTTCTCCACGTCTTTTTTCTTATTTCCTTTGCTGGCGTTGGTTCCTTACGGCGTTTATTTTGCTACCTTTTGGACAGTGTGTTACAAGATTATGAGTATGTACGTTTTTGGTTTTGTTTCTTATACATGGTCGATAGAGGGTAAAATTGCTATGGACAGTCTAATTTTCTTATGCCTTCCCCGAGATGTCGGACCATCTCTTGGCCGTTGGAAGAAATGTGTGATACTTGTTCACTTGCATTGGCCCTGTGTATTTGATTCTTGTTTTAAATCCCGGTTTTCTTGTCTATGTATCAATTCTTCAGGTTTTATTATTGTTATGTCTACATTTCAAACTACAGCTCTCTTCTCTACTTAGTCTCCACAGCTACTCTCTATACTTCATTTCTTCTGGCGATTTCATGGCATGGAATTTCCACACCATCTTGTTTTTCCTCTCGTATATACATGCATGGTATGCACTGGTTTGAAATTGTTCGCACCTTTCCTTGCGGTTACGAGGTAGATGGACGGTTTGATAGAGTTATATACAAAAAGAAAACGAAAGTTTTTTGGCTTACAGTCATAAGCATATTTTCATCCTTGACATGGTGATAATTTCTTTGATTCCAGTTATTTAATATGTGTAAAAAAACCCCCCAGAGTTCTCATTCTCTCTCTGTTTGTTGTATGACAAAGCGGTAAAAAACAAAAACAAACGTCCCCGGGAAGGCTTGAACTTCCAACCTCCCGATTAACAGTCGGACGCGCTAACCAATTGCGCCACGGAGACTTATTTGATGAAAGACCTATAAGTATTTGCAAATATAATCCAAAAATTTATATCCTATCCTACATAGCATTATCGCAACGTATTATCGTGCATACAATTCAAAGTTCCTTTGTCTTACAATGATTAAATCCTTTGAATATCGTATGAAGTATGTATACTTCTTTATTTTCGTGTGAAATAGGGGATTTGATCTGGGCTGGCATTTACGCAAAGATATATATGTCACTGCGTTACCTTGTCCGACGACAATACCCCGAACCTGTTCTTTATAACCATCAGATACGACACGAACACAGCACACAGAGAAAAAGGTCAGTAGACATCATCAACAGGGGTATCACAGATGCCAACCCTACAAGAAAGAGCATTGATAGTTCCGAACTATACAGTTAACGAAACAACCACTGCGTATACCTCACACACCTCGGAGCCACACATATACTGTATACTAGTAAAAATACTAGTGCAAAGCCAAAAATGATATATAGACAAAAAAAACGCCGACTATCTAATATGGTACTTCTGGAGCTTTGGCTCCATGAGAGCAAGAGTGACCCGCCGGCGAATCTCAAATTCAGTGGCATCTGCCCGAGTGCCACTGAATCTGCTTTCATGCCCAGAGAGTATTATATTTGCTATAAATTCGAAGGCCCCAACTAAGTTATCCGTTGGTTGGGTTGAGCCATAAGTGAAATACAAGTGAAATGTAGATTGAAGGTCTTTAACATAGCTCCGACTACTTACTCTGTGGCATTCCGTTTCGGTCGCACCGATAGAGCCTAGTAACCCTAGAAATACGATCCCCTACGACCTTTGATCCCTTCACATTAAGAACAGCCTCGATGCTACCGGAAGCTTCCATAAGCAAGACCCCGGGGTCATTATGTAGTCGTGGGTTCACTCCACCTAGATTCGATAGCAATAGTTGGAAGGTTACGACTATAAATCATAAAGAAGGGCCAGGCTATTTCCTCGAGCTGTAACACGGTCTACCAGGGAACTGGAGAGCTATGTCCATTAGCCCCGAGTGTCCACCAAATGGATAAGCTATAATACGACTCACTCGTCCCGGATTATCCGTGGATAATTCCCTATTTGTATCGCGTAGTAGCCTCACTTGTGCCCTAGATAAAAAATTGGTTGTATAACTACCCAGGTACGGCTGAATGCAGTTGTGAATCGGTGTACTCTCGGCACGCCTTTCGCGCTATCGCACGTCCTACCAGGAGTGGTATGAGACTATATGTAGAGGTAGGGTTAGATTATAGGACTTACTGAGCAGACACAACCTCGCCAAGGATCTCGAGCGTAATCCCTCCACAGCAAAGAGGCACGTCAAGGAAGATAAATTCGTGGTTCACTTAGACTTGAGCAACGGACGCGAGGCAACACATTCGATATGTTAGCCGTCAATGTCAGTCATCCAGATCAGCATCCAACCCAAGCCAGACACAGAAGCGAGTATTGGAAGGTAGTAAGTAGAAAGTGTCAAGGAAGAGAGAGGCCGATAAGAATCGGCTAATTATGTCAACTAAGACTCATATACACCATACAATGCCCCAAGTAATACATGAAAAGTGCTTCACCCAACTTATGCGCTCGCTCTTATATACTCTTTAACATCAAACAACCATTGCCAGCCCCGGTTACTAGTGACCATGACCACTAAGACCTATGTGTAGTACAGAATGAGTCAAGTAGCACATAATGAGTAGTTTAACACAGAGTTGGTCTTAGTAAATGTACGTAGTGAGATTATCTGGCATCAATATCATCATAGCCATGGACCACGTAGCAGTCGATCAATCTCACTTTCTTCGATATCCTGTAGTCGAGCATGCCAGTATCAAGGAAAGGAATATCTCTTCTTACTTCTTGAAAAAGACTGAGACATAAACAATAACTCATTTTCAACTCGAAATAAAACCTTTAATGCAGTCTCTGATAAAGAGAGGCTTTGGACATCTATGGATACACCTTCGGTACAACAAATAAAGTTCGAAGTTTAAATCAACCTCACCATACATAACCCCTATATACACTTAGGCGAGAAAAAAACAGCAAGCAAAAGCAGAAAATAGCAGAGAATGCCATCTCAAATCAAAAAAATAGATTTGATGAAAAACAAAAAACAAACGTCCCCGGGAAGGCTTGAACTTCCAACCTCCCGATTAACAGTCGGACGCGCTAACCAATTGCGCCACGGAGACTTATTTGATGAAGAGCGACCGACAATGATGATATATAAACCAAAATTGTAAGATTGGGAGCAGATATGCCCTCGACCAGTATGAAGTATGAGACTTGGCTGTTCTCTGCCTTGGTTTGAGTCTCCAGGGCATAACTCACTTCCTAGACATGGGGATTTAGATAACCGACTCACCAATTATTTACCACCTAAGTAATCACTTGATTAGTTAGCATCTATTACTCGCAATTTTCTAAGGTTAAATAGCCCTACGCTTGAACCACGATACCACGATAGTGCAACTCTATCAACCCACCTGGGGAATTAAATAACCGTCTGAGAAGAAAGGGAGGGGAAAGAAAAAAAAAGAAGGAAAGTACATGTGTGCTATGTCTGGAGATCAAGACGACCAGACGTAGAATCAAGAGAAAATCCTTACATACATGAAATCCTGGAGATCTAGACGACCAGGTAAATCGGAAAGTGGAGTCATTAGTGGCCCGGGAACTGTGCCAAGAGAAAACCAGAAGAAAGGTCATTCCCAATAGTAAGCCCAGAAATAAAGAACAGCAGTCACAAATCAAGATAGCACCCCCCGTGACCTCTTTGTTCTCTAGATCTAGCTCACAATGTATCCATAACCCTCTAATTAGGGATTCTGGATGAGAGTAGTTGCAGCTGGGAAAAAGCAGTGCGGACAGATAGACAGTCCATCGCGCTGACGGTTAGTATTCACCACCGATCTCCAGTGCGTAAGAGCCAGCCAATCGCGGCCATGGAGAGTCCAGAATGCAGTTGGGTAGTGAGTGAATGCAAAACCAACGTGGTGGGCACTAGTACCTGTCATTGAGTATCCACAGCCATCAATACGAAGCCAAAGGAGATTCCAGGGAGCAAAAGCTCGATAACCGAAAACGTCTTCCCAGGTGCCACTCATGAGCCGAACGTGGACCAATTCAACGCGAAGCAGCGTATATCGAGCCTGGCGGAAAATATTCTTGAGAGTTTCGTGGTTGATTCGCACGCCTTCGAGTCGGAAATACTTCAGTTTAGTGAGGTTTTCCGGTTCCAGATCAGACACGTCGAACCAGGTACGGGCATCTAGACTGAAGACTTTGATTTTCTTTGCGTAAGAAATGAGCTGGATCAGATACGGGGCAAATCGATCGAGAGGGTACTTCGTCTTGACCATGGAGCGGGGCCATTTCGGGTCTCGTCTGCCATCGGGGCCGGTGCTGTCGTTGATGGTGATGTGGAGTTCTTCGATTTGCGCGAAAACGTTGGTGAAGTTCCTAGCGTAACTGTTCAACTCAAAGAAACGAGCGAACTCTGCAGTAGTGGGCATGGAAATATGCAAGCATCTCAATCTCGGGACAGGTACAAAGCGTAAAGTATGGACAAGGGCGTTTGTCAGCTTGGCAAGCATCGGAGGCTTGATTTGTCCTTCTTCACTGAATGTGTCCACCACAGAGGGTGATTGCATCCGCAAGGTTTGAATGTTCGTGAAACGGCTGATGAGAATAGGAAGAGCCCCCGAGGCCAAGTCATCGATGTACCGATCATAGTCCAATCCGGGCAGCCACGCTCCCACGAAGCCAAAACGCACATCACGTACGTAAACGGCATGTGGACTTTCGGAAATCTTTAGGATGCTGTCGAGAGGTTGACCAGCAGAGTATCCGACGACGGCTTGGAGGTATCGAAAAAGAAGAGGTGTCGCAATTCGGTTCCAGATTCGGTTCACCAGTCTTAGATTCGACAGAGTCCTCTTGGTCGCTGGGTTGTCGAAGATATCCCCATAATCGAAGTCAGTTTCCTCGCGCGATTCACTAGAAAGCGTGGCATAGAATACCTAGAATCAAGTTAGCTGGATGAACAGGTCTCAAGCTCCATTGAGTTGACACGGTGTAGTACTTACAGCTTCCCAAGCTTCATACGGGAGCGATGGCTCTCGTGCCAAGTATCGAAGATTGCCAGAGGCTCGACCAGACTGCGTATCATCACTAGATGTGGATGAAGAGCGACTCAAATTGCCAGATGTGCGTCTCTCGAGCGGGGAAGGCGTATTGGGAGGACTCGGGGTGGAGGAGGGACTTTCAGCCAGGCGAGGAGTCCCAGGAGGAGAGGGGCCCCCAAACAAAGAGGAGTGGTGAGAGCGACGAGTAGAAACCCCAGTAGGAGCATCAGAGCGGGGAGGCTGAACAGGCGAGCTGTCCAGGGCCATTGCAGCCAGCTGCGTCGAGGGTGAGGTGGTCAAGGCCGCCGCATCCTGTCGCACCGAGAGGGGACTGCTCAAGGCCAACGCACCTAGTTGCGCTGAGGGCGACTTTTGAACCTCCGGTTGATCCATTGCTGGAATTGATTCCGATAAAGTCCAGTGATGAACGAGACGGTAGCAAGATGTCACACAAGATTGCCCAAGTGGTGGATTCCGGAGCGAAAACGAAACAGTAACGGTTTGTTTTGATGAACGAAAGCTCGTTGTCTCGTTATGGCAACCGCTCGTTCTGCCATCCTAAGCCTAAGGCAGACAAGTGCCCATTTGCACAGGCCCTGTGACCTTGGGACTAATACCATTCTTTCGGGTGTCGAGAAAAGTCGGAAAAAATGGATGAAAAGGAAGATGTCACATCGAAGTAGTTTCAAGGCTAAGAATACGAGAGAAACAATATATCTACCGCGAGTAGCTACTTCTACGGAATTTACGCGCGTCGAGCCGACATAATCTCATCAATCAATCATAGTAAAACGTATAAACGAAGCATCCGGAGCCTCACGAAGTTCCACGGAATCATTTGCTTTTGACTTTTCTTCGCTCTTTCCTATTTTTATTCTCTGATTTTTCTGTACCCTATCTGTAATCCTTCTTTTATCCCATCTTATCCTACTATATACCTGCAAAGTGCAGTCGAGATTATTAGGATTGCTAGGAGAATATGGCCCATCCGACGCAGCAACTATAGATGCCATAAGGCATCTGACCAATCACAGCAAGGCATACCTAGAGAAGGCATTCGGAGCTTCATAGACTTTCACCGTATTGTTCGCTTCACACTTATACATACTCTACATTATTCTTATTTTGTTATTATCCTGTTACTATTCTGTTACTATCCCATCCCATCTCATCTCATCCCAATATATGACGACACTGCTCACGTGATACGATTCTCTAGTAAAACTCTTCGTCTCCACTATCCTATCTCCACTGACATTTGCCACAATCAAGTCTCCGTGGCGCAATTGGTTAGCGCGTCCGACTGTTAATCGGGAGGTTGGAAGTTCAAGCCTTCCCGGGGACGTTTGTTTTTTTCTTTTTGTACTTGATCTCACGTTGTGATATTCTACACATTTTCTTTTTGCGCAACGAAACACCAGCAATGGGGATGGGGGTGAACGACGGATATTTGGAAGACAACCAAAAAGAAAATGTAGAATGATTTTGAGTATAACGAACGTCCCTTGTATCATCTCAAGCCAAATGGATTAGGTTACCGATCTAATACTTGGTCAACCATGGAAGGACAGAGGCATAAGATTACTCTTGTATTATACATATTTGTCTTCCCTATGGTAGTATCAAAATCAATACCCTCAACTCAGTTGCATGACAGACCACCTAAAACCCCGTAGCCAAAGGCGTGGTAACCGGCACCGCACTGGAAGGACAAACACAAGCCGTAACCGACGCAACCGGCGGCTCGGTACAATGCGGCGTCAAATCCCAAGGCACAGAAGTAACCGGCGCCTTACCCTGAACCCTCTCAGCCTTAACCAACACCGGAATAACAGAACCAGTGTTCAACTTGAAAGTCCGGTGTCCAACAACTCTCAGAATCGACGAGATCTCACCCGAATGAGAGGTAATAGAAACAAACGACTTCTTCTTAGACGAAGAAAAGAAAACATCTCCCAATGCCTGCGCACTTCTGATATCCTGCGCACCACTGGATTCACCTGTCACGCCGTTCCACAACTCATCCTCCTCGCTGAATCCGAGCTCAATGCGCCAGTGCGGAAACAGTGAGTGGATGTAGTTGCGAGTACGACGGTGATCGCAGGTGTGGACGCTGATTGATTCACGGAAGAGTTCCTTGATAGTTGGCTTGAAGGAAGCGCTGTGTTTCGGAAGGTCCAGACCCGTGAAAGTTAGGTTGGCAGTTTGCAGGGTGCGTGTCATTGGGCTGACGTAGTAGAGGTCTGGTGTGTGGATTCGTTGTTCGTTTATTTCCTTTTGCCAGAAGGCGTTTGCCTTGAGGGCTTGGGAGGTACCCTCGGGTGTGAGGGCGGCGTCTGCCCAGGTTGATGTGCCGTTGCCGCTGAGTTCGGACCAGTAGCACTGAAGATGGTTAGTGGGGTGTTGGTGTGCGGGTATGGTAGACAGGGACTTACGTTCCACGCGGGTGTTCCATAGTAGGACTCCGCAGCATTGTGATATCCTTCGCCGTGTCGACCAAGGAACAGAACCTTGTACTCGACGTGGGGTGGGGAATGGTCATTCAACTGGGCGACCTGGTTGTAGAAGCGCTCCCATTGAGTTAGAGACTTGTATTTCTTGGTTTTCTTATCTGCAGGGTATGCGCGGCTGATCAGGCCAAAGTTCTCCGCTGTCTGAACAAGTAGTTAGTGGATCGAATGAATCAAGGGATAACGGACATAGTTTTTGTATAACCAGTCTGAATTTGTGCTTACATAGTCAAATGTAGTGGGATCAGTCGACTGCTCATCCTGCAGAAAGTAGCCTGGAACTACAGAGTACTTGATAGTCGATGCTTGCGCGACAGCCAGGCCCACAAGGGCGGAACTGAGGGTGGAGAGTTTCATCGGAGATACGCGGGTTTCAATGTCAATCTTTCAACAGTTTTAGTTTCTTCTCTCAAGATGAGATCGACAATTTCCTTTTATATCTTTGAACTGTAGCGCACGTGGTGAGTACATAGTAGTTTATCCTAATATGACTGTGGATTCGAGTGGCGCTTTTCGGCTTTGATGACATCCTATCGTCCAGTGCCACGTGCAGAGCACACCCCATTTGTATTGCACGATATTCTCTGACTCCATAAACGAACCCCAAAATGGTAAGGTACGTTGAACCCGGAGATAATCCATCAATTACAGATACTGGTACTTCATCATTTCCGGAGCTTTTATGTTGTACTCCGGTGCCAAAAAAAAAATTTCGGAGATAACCTCCTTTTTGATTGAGAGATATGAAATATAGATACGTAACAAAATGTATATGTATCGTGGAAAATGTGAAAATATCAAAGCCAAATGCTGCCAAAGCCATATGCAAACCCAAGTTCAAATCCCATCCACAAAACCCGATTCCAACGGGAATAAAAAAGGTCAAAAAAAAAAAAAAACAACCAAAGAATGTAAAAAAGGTCTCGAGGTCCAGAGGGAGCTCGGCAGAAATTAAAAAGGTCCTACCACCAAAAATAACAAAAAACAATCCCAGGCCAATAAACAACATGCAAGGAATGCTCCAAATATGTAAAAACCCGGTGAATACACCCCAAAAAAAGAGACACGAAAAGAAAATAGTATATAGAAGACATAAAGTGACAGTGCTTCTCCGCGCACGGAGGGGTAGATATCTCCCTGAGGGAAAATGTAGGTAAACGAAGGTGAAAGCGAAAATTTTGCGTAGTGAACTCGTCCCGGACCAAAAACACCAAAAGTTGTCGCGTATTTCTCATACATAAGGGAAGAGTCGAGGGACTTTTCCCCTAGGAAGGGTAGTTACTTGGCGTCGTGTTGTTCGCGAACGTGTAGGCTTTCGGCTTCTGCATTGATGGCAAGTGATGCCCACTAAATCGGGCATCATGCTCTGGGAATTCGTGCATCATGAATTCGGTCCGCTTCCTCTCTGCAAGCTCAGCAGAGCCTGGCATGTCGGTATCTTCAATCGAATAGATCAAAGATGGTGAGCCAGAGACCGATTCCATGCCGAAAGCCTGTCCGGTGTGATCGGTGGTCCCATTATAGCCCATGGGGGAGACGGTGGTTGAATGCGGCACCTGGAGACCAGCCGGGTACTCGGGTGAAGAGATGGAAGCGGTGTCGGCCCAGCTGCGGGTCGGCATGGGAATCGAGTCACATGAGATATATTCAGGGAAAGAGGAGACATGGGCAGGGGCCGACATCGGCGGGGCCACATGTTGATAAGGGAAGGGGGAGTAAATATCCATTGGCGTGGTAGGAGGTGATGCCATGTTGACCTGCATGGGCTGAGAGGTAGGGAAGAAGTGGGCTGTCGAGTGAGCCGACAAGCAGTAGTTGCTTTCCGTGGGGGAGGCAGGCATGAAATGCTGGAGGTCTTGCGGAGTCAAGGGAGTCGGTGGCGCTAGGCTGTTGGTCGAGACCGAGGGTCGCAACATCTTCTCGGCCTTCTTGATAGACCCGGAATCCGCAAAGGTGAAATTAAGAGGAGATCGCTGGGCAGCGGATGCCTTCCTCACGCCGGCATACCGGGAGTTGAGGCTCTGGGTTGACTTGGATTGTCTCATTGAGTTGCCGACACCGGAGCTAGGCATACGAGCGGTAGGTGACAGCGAGGACATCGAGGTCGAGTTAGCCAAAGGACGAGTTCCCGATGTGCCAATGGCAGCGGGGCGAGGGCGCTTGCGGCGTGCGGCGAGATCAAGCTCCTTGCCGGGTTCCTTCCAGCAAGTTGCGTCCACTCGATCGAGAGATTGAGACAGCCCAGGTTGGCCGGTAGTACAGATTCCAATGCCCTCCAATGAGGCAGTGAGCGCATCAGACGACTCACGACGTGTGACTGAGATATCTGGTGCCTGCATAGACATCGGATATTGCATGTTGCTGTAGACAACGTCGTGTCGTGATTCCCTGTCCTCAGACCACTCTTCCCTGTGAGGGGGCAGGTGATGTGAGTAGACGTCCAAGTTCTGCACAGAGTAGGAAGGGTTCGGCATCTCTGCCATTGACTGATGGCAAGTGGTATGTGAGGTCTGATCTGTAGTGTATCCCATGTTCTCATTGTGCTCGCCGGATCCCCACGAAGCTGGTTCTTCTTTCATACCGGACCAGCCCGTAAAGGAAGAGTTTATGTTGGCGAGATTCCCATGGTCATTAGCCGGAGTGACCGTTTTTGGTGGTGGCATTGAGCTAGGGGACACTGCCTCTTCTTCTTCCTCTTCTTCTTCTTCTTCGGGAACAGAATCGTTCTTGCTTCGGGGGTTGATCCGACGACCGAATCGATCCCGGGCAGCACAAGCAGCATTGAGCGCCCTCTGCAGCGATGCAAAAGTTGCTTCTCTTGCTGACTCGCTCTTTGTTTTGTGGTGCTTGGAACGGCTGGATGTGGAATCTGTCTTGGCATGG